ATACAAAACATGTTTTTTTTCCGGCAGAATTAGGGCACCTGACTCTAATTGAAGGATATAATTTTTGATTTTCTTTGTGTTATCAGAAGTTGAAACATCACTTATTAAGTGAAATATTCTTTTGCTTTGATTTTCACTTACCTGAAGAAATTGGATTGATCGATTGTGGAACAACAGTTGGTACTGGTTGTAAAAGCGGAAATGGCGGACGAGTTTCTTCCAGTTGAACAATGTGAAGGTTTCCTTGATCAAGACAACCCATTACTTTGAATTGAGTAGCAGCCATAAGAAGTACTTCGTTTTCAGCTGGATAATATGAATGCTTCCGAATATCTTTAACTGATTGACATTGTAAGGTAAACATCGTTCTTTCACCTGTTTTTCCCAAAAATCGGTCTGATTTTAGCACAGTAACAGATGTTGTGCACGATGAGAAACCCCACCAGACGATTGTTTGTCCTTCAGTATACCGTTGGCTCAGATCTAATTTAATACCTCTGTACGCAGTTTTAGACAACGACGGAAGGCGAAAGAGTGCATTAAGAAAGAGTCTCAGAAATAAAAACCATGGTTCGAGCTTTTGTTGTCGGTCTGGTGATCGTAATATATTATTTAAAACGAAATATAAGGATTTATCGAATGGCTTCCATCCCATCGTATACAACATAATTGAGGCAGATTCATCTTGTGTTAATTCGTCGGCAGGATTTTTACATCGTTGTTTGGCAACATATGCGTAACTTTGAACGGCTGGCAGAATAGGAACAAGCGGTTTGACAGCTTCTTCAAGGGAGACAAGTGATATTTCTTCATAGCCACCAATGGGTGCGAGAAACTCAAGCGACTCTTTGCCAATATCTGTAATGCGTAGTATACACTGTACTGTCTCTTCTTCTCCACATCCTGTGGCCATGTTCAACAAAAAAGAAAACTCTTGGCGACCTATCAAAATAATAAATGTCTGAAAAATAAAAAACAATAAATTTTATGCTGATAATATTTTCGTCAACGTCGTTCTTTTTCGTCTCTTGACAATAATCAACTTTATATTACAGTACTTTATTTGACATGATAAATGTTTAAAGAACTCTCAATGCATATGATATTAGTTCCAATATTCATACGGAGATATCTTCTCATGACACTATCACAGTAACTTAACATTTTTAAAGTGAATTATTAATATGATAGAGATTTATTCAATACTGAACGCAGAAGATTTCCTTGTGTATCGATTCTTCGTTATCTAATTTTATATCGGTTTTCTTAGAATGAATTTCATTAAAATGTAATTGTTTCTTCCACAAGTTTTTCCAGATTATTATGCTTTTTATATTTCAATGAAAGAACGACGAGATTTGCTGAAATCTTCTGAATAGACAAACTTTTTTTTATAACAAATATTTCAGCAAAATTCGTTGAACACTCATGGAACGGATTTGAGGAAGTGCAGATGTGAGTATGGGTGTAGATGTCAGTGATCTACTACTCTATACCCACACTCACATCCCATACTTGTGATTGGACAATGATACCCCTTATGCTAGTAGATGAATGTGTGGGGAACACTTCTTCGACTCTTTCGCATTATTTGTTGCCCAAAAGTGTTCACTATTGAAGCTACACACTCACCGCTTTGTCCGAAGAGGCTTTCCGTCACGAACACATTTTGATGGACCACACAGGGCACTCTCTCTTCCTTCTTAAGTATATGTCCGCGAATCTAAAGGTATTGATCGAAATCTGAAGCATTTTGATGTGACATGACACTCTTCGTAGATACTTAGTTCAAATGAAGAAACGTCCGTAGCTTTTCGGACTTTTTTGCGGTGTGTAATTTTGCTGCGTCTTACGCTGTTTGCTATGATCTATACACATTGATAACTGAACTGAATGTTAAACTTGTGCACTGACGCTCTGATATATGGTCGGATGATCATGGCTCCTTTGTCATCACTGTCATGCATGTTTGCAAGAGCAAGGTTTTTTGTGACTTCTAGAGAATCGCATGCTTCTTGAAACTTTCATCTGTCATCCTAATAGATTTCTCTATTACCCGAAGCTTTATCGACTCATTTCTTTGCATTGCCATGTAGCCCTAAGTTTTCCACGAGTGCCTTAGCATATTGGTAGCAGGATCGAAATATTGTAGACTGACTTTGAACCACGACCATATAGTCCAAAGTTTCTTGGTCTGAGTTTCGCTCGTAGTTGCTCGAGACGCAGCTGTTTCGTCAACGGTTTGACTCATTGTTCCATAGCTAGAAATGATTGTTCCTTGATATTTCACATGATTGTTAGCAATGAAAGTTGTTCTTCTAGCTCCGTTACATTGATAAGTAAGGCAAAGCTTTCTGTCCTCATTGTTATGAGTTTCGCTTTAGTTGGAAGCTTTTCGTCTTTATTGCCACGCATCACTCTCTGACTGACAGATTTCGATATTCGCCTAAGTAGATTGGTCTGCGACCAGAAGCTCTCATACAGATAGTCTTACTCGTACTCAAAGTTCATCATCATGTTCCTGTCCTTTTCATGCATAATCTCATTAAAGTCGCAGTTATATTATATTGATTGTGGTTTATTATCTCCTTCATAACTGAAAATGATGAATAGAGCAGAAAAAAAAGAGGTAGACTATTTGCAGTGTCTTTGTGCTAAGTGTATAATATTCAAAATAGTTTCTTTTGCATTTCGAATCTTCTTGATAAATTACTCACCTCGATTAAGTTATTAAACCCACGTTATTCTTCGTAATTTGATTGATGTATTGCAGTTGATAGAATTTTTTGCGCCTTTTATCGTTGACTCGCTTTTTTCGAATGATTCGTATCTCGCTTTTGCAGCGTGTCAAAACTTTATATTCTGTTGTTATCTGTGTTTGCCTTCTTTTTGTCTCGTTTTTTAAAATTCTTATCAAATGAGTACTCTATGAAAAGGACGATAAATATATCAGTAATGAAGCATACACCAAAAGAGAAAACGACGAGCGACGATAAAGAAACCAAAAAACTCATACTTGTTTAGTGACATTTATTTCATGTGGAGTACATAGATTAATATTTGTCTCTGTATAAATTGAGATGGTTGGAATCATTCAAAAATAGATAGTCACTAGCAAGGAGACAGATCAGTACATAGCTATTCAATGATGCTATTATTGATGGTTAACAGAGTACGACTATTCGAAAAAAAGTAGAAGTTTGAAAGATTTCAGCATAATTCATTTTTCTATTCAAATGGATGTTTTAGAAGATTCGATATTTCATCTTGTTTTCCAAAAAAAAAAGCAAAGAGGAAAATATTTAGCCTATCTAGTTGAACTCGAACTTCAAAAATATTGGTATCAGCAAAGAAAATTGTAAAACAAAAATCAGTTTCGTTTTCACCTAATTTTTATGAAAAACAACCAGTCTTTTAACAGAGTCTAATGTGAATGTAAAAATCGAAATGGTAGGTTTAGATCATTTTAAATTCTAGTGAATATATGTGAGCTCTTCTTGAATGCATTCTGTCGATTACATAGAAGAATCAGAAAGATTTATGACACACATGGCAATGTAGGCATATCTTGAAGTTTCGTTTTTGATTATATCTCATAATCAAAAGACGCTGTTTCATATGAGATGAGAATTGATTGAGTAGATAATTGAACATTATCGAGATATGAAGGCAGCTTCATATACATAGGCACATCTTAAAATCTATTTCAGAACAATACATCAATTAGAATTTATTGTTATTAGAACAATCAGTATATAACATCAGCATTTTGTCCTCTATACCTTTTTGTATGAAACCGTTTGTGATATCTCAAGCAAATAAATAGAGATTCAACGACAGGAAAGTTTTATTTTCATTTTTTTTTTACAGACTATCCAAATACTTATTATCTATATCTTAATAAGAATGTAAATTATCAGACACAAATATGAAATATTTATCCTTATTACTAAAAAAATGGAAATTTCAATGACATTGTAAAAAAAGTCAATGTCTTTTTTTCAACATCAAATACGAATGACTTCATTGATCTTCTATGAATAACTTCAAAACTATATGAAAATACAAAACAAAATTTATCAATTGTCTCTTTATGTTCACTACAGAACAATAAATGACCAGAATAAAATATATTTTATACAATTCATCTTACACTTGTGCTAAAACCTTGATTTTTATTTAGATTATATAGGTGAATAAAAAACGGAGTTATTGATTTTTTTTTTAATTTATCTTTTTCATAACTATTTTTAGTTTTCATTGACGATTATCGATTAAACGAGAAATTCAAGGATATGGATATGAGTGAGTGAAGAGAATATCCAAATTCACAATCACAGGCATCAACAACTTCAGACAGGTAGACTTAGCTGCCTAGTAAAGGTCTCCATTGTTCATTTTTTTTGTGATCACGAATATATTTTTTGTACATTAGTGTTATAGCATGACCGATAGGCTTCTTTAAAACTATTCTAATAGAAAATGTCATCACAGTATGTATACAAATTATAACCTTGTATTACATTGATTATACAATTCAAAGATTTTTTAACAACAAATATGATGTGATGATTGAATTTGAAGCTCTAAATAAACTAGAACAATGGAATAGTTCATTATTATTTATTATTTATCTAAATTTTAGAGAAACCTATAATCTATTTCTTTTAGTTAACCATATCGTTCAAAACTTTTTTTCTAATGTATTTAGAAATATTTTGCAATTGAAAGATTCAGAAAATGTTCAGTATAATTTAAATAACTTGGATATGTATTATTTCACTCAGGATCCATTTTCACTCTAGTCAACGTGATGCGTTTTTTGTGTAACAATTCTTAGGAAGAAAGAAAGTCATTACAATGTAGTTATTTTGAAGAATTTATAGTAGAAACATTACACATGTCTACAGAGAAAATAGTGATAATAACTTACTTTATTTATAATTGTATTCGCAATTTTATTTTATCTGGGCACTGAAAAGTTCCTCAATGTTACTCTTTGTCAAACATTAGTACAACTTTGATAATTCCCGTAGAGTCTGAGATTTATCATGAATTCTTTTAGTTTGGGAATGTTGAACTGTTAAAGCATCTTTTTCTATTTGTTATTCTAGTTTTTATTTATAAATTTTACAAAATAATTGATTTTAAATGTATCATCAATCACCATGGGAATAAAAGAAAAGAAAAATCGAATATCGATACTGTTGAACAATAGTTAAAGATTAATCAATAGAATGTATTGATGATTGCATTCATTTGAATACTCAATTGAAATTAGTTTTTATTCAAGCGTTTTAAGTTCAAGATAAATGATACACAGAAAAAAAAAAGTTATGGATCTACATCCTCAGAATTTTTGTT